AATGGTGCAGCCACCGCCCTGTTTAGTTTAGGGTTTATCAGGCAACCCAGGGCTAAGTTGTCTACACAGCTCCCCAAGAGTCATCTCTGCAGAGGGACAGGGCCTGAAGGCAATCCAAGGCTGGGTCGCTTTTGTAACCCCCTATGTGTCCCCTGTGTGCACTAGACATGGTGAAACTCATTTATGAACTATGAGCTGGACAATCCACACACAACCCAAGAGTTTTACTTTTTTTTTCCTGATTCTCTACCCCATCCCACTGCAGGGGGAGTGAGTGAGTGGCTGATGGGGCTTTGTTGCCAGCTGGGGTTAAACCATGCCACTGGCTGTTGTGCTTTAACCTCAGCCAGCAGCTAAGCACCACGCAGCCGCTCACTCACTCCCCCCCCCACCCAGTGGGATGGGGGAGAAAATCGGGAAAAGAAGTAAAACTCGTGGGTTGAGATAAGAACGGTTTAATAGAACAGAAAAGAAGAAACTAATAATGATAATGATAACACTAATAAAATGACAACAGCAATAATAAAAGGATTGGCGTGCACAAACGATGCGCAGGGCAATTGCTCACCACCCACCGACCGACACCCAGCCAGTCCCCGAGCGGCGATTCCCCGCCCCCACTCCCCAGTTCCTATACTAGATGGGACATCCCATGGTATGGAATACCCTGTTGGCCAGTTTGGGTCAGGTGCCCTGGCTGTGTCCTGTGCCACCTTCTTGTGCCCCTCCAGCTTTCTCGCTGGCTGGGCATGAGAAGCTGAAAAATCCTTGACTCTAGTCTAAACACTACTTAGCAACAACTGAAAACATCAGTGTTATCAACATTCTTCTCATACTGAACTCGAAACATAGCACTGTACCAGCTACTAGGAAGACAATTAACTCTATCCCAGCTGAAACCAGGACACTGGCGAAAGGGAGGTTTTTGTCCACAAGACCCTAACAGTTGTAGTGCATGACATAGAATGGAAATTCTAGTGGAAAATCGATTAAAATGGACAGGAACTCATGTTGTACAAGATCCCCCAAAGTGAATGTACAAAACACAAAAGTGTGGCTTTCTGTGTATTGTATATAAAGATGCACCCGAGGGAATCCTCAAGCAAAATAGGGAGTGCTTCACTTGTGTTTTTCAACTGGCCTGAATCCTGCGCTTCTTTTGGGGTTTTTTTGCTTTATTTTTCCTCTCTGCATCTTGTCAGAAGAGAAAAATGGAAAGTAAAATTAAGAGTGCCAGAGTGGTTGTCTTCTGCTGTGACGTGTCTTGAAAAGAGCTGAGGTAATTGTTTCAAGTATTAAAAAGGAAAAAGAGAACTGGAACGAAAAGGCTGGCTAGGTGTATATAACTGGGAACAGGGTTTCAGTGTTCCTTGTTTTGTGGCAGAAGGGTTATAACACTGCTGCATCCAAAACCGGTTACTTGTAAAATATGACAGAGCACTCTAAGCTGATGGTTACAAGTAGTTGCTGTCAATTAGTTTCTCAATAAAAGAGTTATTTGTCTTAGTAAATCCTTTCTATATTATTTGGAAATAAAAGCAATAGTGCTTTGCATTACTTACCAAAGAGGATAATGACAAGAAGTCCCACCTGTAAAACAGCTGTTTGTATTCCATATAGAAGCTCATCAGTCTTGTATCATTCCAGGGTACGTAGTTGGATTTTCAGCAGTTTGCGAGGTGTAATTGTCCAATGGATAGAAAATTCATGACCTATTCTAAGTGTCAGTCCCAAGTCTGGTGGAGATTCATTTTAATGTATTCTGGAAAATGATTAGAAATATGGTTAGTCCCAAAAGGGAAATATCAGTCAATGCATTTTTCATAATTCCTTGTATGATGTGCTCTCATGCCACAGGTACATTTAAGCACAGTAAAAGAAGTAGATTAAAAATGTTCTCTAATGACAGTATATATTTTCATACATATATAGCTTCTTAATGGTAAACTACAATTTATTCTGCAGTAATTCAGTTACTGCATAAAATATTATAGCCCACAGAGAGTTTGGTGGTTTTTTTTCCTCTAATGAAATTGGTGTAGTATAAAATAAAGGAAGTGACAAATCATGCTACCATTTTGCTAATATCTCTGGAAGTAATTAATTTAAACCAAAACTGAAACTGAATCAGCTAATATGTTTTAGTAGCTGCATCGTGCATGCTAGCAAGCATATGACTCCATAATGCTCTCTACAGCATCCCTGATGCAGAACTCCTAATTCCTTTCCAGTGTCCTTCTCAGGTTTGTTAGTCAGATAGTAATGTGTCTTACGAGTTTGTCTGAAGTGTATGTGGTGACTACATAGCCGGCATGGTTGTGCTTCTTGGTCAGATGTTTGATGTTTATTAGAATTAGTATTGTGTGAAATTATAATGAACTTTTCTTCCTGAGGACACAGAGTGTCTCTGCTCTCTGTTAGCTTCCTTCAGAAATTTTAAATAACGTAATATCCTCAGATAATCCTTTCATCTACTAAGTCCTTTGCTAAATTGTGAGTGCCTTGGCTGAGAGATTCAAAATTTAATGTGGCTAGGGTGGAGATCACTGAAAGACAGCTCTGATGTGTATTTCCTTTTGATTTGGAAAGCAAACTTAAAATAATACCCTCATTTAGCTAGTAAGACTGTACACATACATACATACATACATATATGTATATCTCTCTCAGAAAGAGTGGATGGGCTGTTCTGGGTTGTATTGTTATATTCTTTAGGTAAACATTTATACCTAATATGCATAAAAAACCCTCTTTGCACTGGTGAATATACTATTCTCAGTGAGAACTGGTTTCCTGCAAGATCTAATGGGTACTTCTAAGGTGGTCTGCGGCTGGGCAATGGCAAAAAAAATTCTGTAAAAGTCCACTGTTGCTGGTCTTCAGTTATTCAGGTTGCCCTAAAAATACTTAGAATAAATAAACTCAGTACAGGCTACAGTTGTGTTTGTTATGTGTTTGATAATGCCTGCTCTGCATACTTATGAGTCTTCATTGCTGTAAGATACAGAGTAGTTTCAGTATGTCAGAGGGAAAGTGCTACGTAAATACTAAGCAGTGTTTATAAATGTATTGCAGTTTGAATAGGGCATGCAATACATTTTGAACAAAGCTGAAGTTTATCCCTTAAATCTGCATTTTCATACTCATTCTATTTAATGTGACTGTTAGCCTCTATATAATGTTTGGTGGTACTTATCAAAGTCTTCTGATGGCCCAGTCCCTGAGTCTTTTTTCTGGTACTTCGAGTCAAAAGAATCTCCTCTTGTTAAAAACATTTTTCAATAAGGAGAAACTGGTGAATGTAGAACCTTACTTGTAGTTTGATGTTGTCATTAGATAAGCACACTATTAGTGTAAGATAGAAAGAAAACTCCTGAATTTCTTTAGGGGAAGCGTAGTAGAATTCACGCATCTTTTGGTAACTTGTTTTTTCCTGTCATATAAGAAGTATACATTGAATTGCAGGTAAATCTCATGGCTCACTTCTGAAGGGATGTGTGAAATAAGTGGATCACTCCACACCCAGCATGCAAGCAAAATGAGACTCTGTGTCCCCCTATTCTTAATGACTTGGGGTTTTTTTTGTTTGTAGACAGTTTAATTCATCAATATTATAAAAATAAAAATCAGGACTCTGCACAGAGTTTTTTATTGTAAGAAAATTAGTTGGCATACAGTATTACTTGAGTCTGATAAAAGGAATAAAGGAAGTGGGCACATAGTTAATGAGTATTTCAGTGACTAGTAAACTCCCTATTAGTGTTTAGACTATTTGACTGGTTTTTGCACTCTTTTGTCACAGCATACAAATTAAGGCACATTGCAGAATTTTGCTACCAAATAAATAAATTTATTTTACTAAGACAATGTTTAACCTATAGCCTGTAAACTAAATTGTATTTAGGAGTCATTTTCAAACACTGGTATACTCTGTATACAGAATGAATAGATTTTGTTGCTTATTCGGAAGTCCTGGAATAAACCAAAGCTGCATTTATTACATTATCAGATTTTCAGTTTCTTCAGTCAAGGGTGTACATCCAAAACTTGGAAGCAATTTTTCTTTGTAAGACTAGTAAACAGTTGTAGTCTGTCTCCATTATCAGTTTCTTACAGTTTAGGTAAGCTATAGCTAATTAGAATGAGATTGTTAATGTGTGGTCTCGCTGCTTCAGGTTTAATTACTTTGCAAATACTCATTAAAATATCTTGGCTGTTTCTGAGGGTGATTTACAGGAAATAAACTCAGTTTGTCAGTGTTAAAAATACCTTTTTTGTATATTTTTAAAGATTCTTTGATATTAAATTTGAGAGCTGATGATAAGTCAGAGATTAAGAAATATATTATGAGCACCTTGGAATTTACATTGACTTACGTTGAACTAAAGATGCATAAAGGCCGTTTCAGTGTTCCAGTTAGAGCCCTCTTCTTAAAGAATTTAAAATGCAGATGCTGCCTGCACCTATGGTTTATGGTAGTGCCAGAAAACGAATGGATCTTGTAACTTGCACTGGTTGGTACTAGTATTTACAGGTCATGTATTGTTAGAGAAGAACATGTTAATAAAAGGAAAAAAAAACCCCATGTATTAAGTAAGGATAAAGTACATATGTATTTTTGTTTTACTATGTGGGCTTTTTTTTATTATATGGTTCCAAATCAATGTCCTTTTAAAATAATAGGTATTTCAGGAGAACTGAGAATTATGTCTTTTGTTTTTAGGGTGCAAAAGAATTTCAGTTCTCCTTACAGTTAACAATAGTGTTATTTAAACTAATTGTATGAAATATTTAAGGAATTACAGAATTTGTCAGCAGTTAAACTGATATGAGGTAGCTCAATCCCACTGATGTTGACACTTATTGTTTTTTTTCAGTAGAGTCTCAGCCCCTATCTTTTGTTTAAAAAAAATCCAGGAGTCTACATTCCACATTCTCTAGTAATTCAATTATCGTACCAATTTGCTAGTTTTCATTGGAGATACTACTTTTTCTCCTAGGACAAGAAGGACAAAGTCTCAAGATTTGACACTATACGTCATTCCATCGCTGGAATTATAAGGTCTCCAAAATCCATGTTGGGCTCATCGTCGGTAAGTGGTATCAATACTGCGTTGTTGTACTACATACTGTTATTTTTACAGCTTAAGTAGGATTTTTTTCTGAAGCATCATGCATTTCCATCTACATGGATAAAAATTACATTAAAATAATGTTACAAAAATGCTGTTCTGATTGATAAGCAGACGTGGTAATATCGTGGCATAATAGTATTGTCAGTACAACTTGTTGCACTTCAGGGAAAAAAAAGAATTTGTATGTTCTTTGCAGGTCCCAGGCTTGTGCTATACTTTTAAGAGTACTCTTCCCAGTGAGTCTGATTTACTGAAAATACAGTGTAGTATGATATTCTGTAGTAGGTCAGATGGTCATGCATGTTTTGCCCATTGTTGCAATAATTATATTCCCCATATCTGTTACAAAGGCACCAGTATATAAGCATATTAGTAGTAGTAGTAGTAGTAGTAGTAGTAGTACTACTAATGCTACTACTACTTCCTCAATACCTGGTACTATTTAAGTAATCAGGTATTACACATCTTGCTTCAATCCCCACTGAAAATGGTTGTTGAGAATCTCTTACTTTTAGTTGGCTTTTGTTCAGGTTCCTTAATGGATGGACAAACTTTTGTTTCTTTTGCTTTTGTATTACCTCTGATTGATTTCATATAGACGCTTGCAAGACTAATTAGAATTCCTGAGCACCTACTTAGGGGGGTGTCAGATTTTACTTGAAAACCTTCCTCCTGAAGTGGAACGTGTGATCATCCTAACCCTCCCAACAACAAAAAAACCCATAAAACCCAACACTCCCCCTGCAAAACCCAAACAAACAAAACCCCCAACCTCCACCCCCCCCAAACCCCCCAAAATAAGCCCCCAAAAGCTGGGCAGAAATTTTAAAGCTTTTTAAAACTGCCTTTTAATTGTGATCTTGTCACTGAAACATTAGCTCAAAATAGCATTTTTGGGAAAACTTTAGAATGAATGGGACTTCTAGACTTCTATTTTATGCTGCAGGATTGCATCCGAAGACCCGTTAAAGAAACTTTAAGCTAAACAATATTCAAAATGTGTGGAAGAGATTACAATTGCATATATATGTATAAATATATATGCATACATATATGTGTATATACATGTGTATACATAGGAAAATTGTACATAGTGATAAAGGAATGGAATAATACATATGATAATGAGATAAAATTAGGACAGGAAGGCTTTTCCTATGAAAAATGTGGAAGTTGCACGACATATTTGAAGAGTAGTTGGAAAAACCCTGCTAAAATATTGAAGTATCCCTGGAGATAAACAAAATCTCCACATTATCATTATCTTTGGTTTATAAAACTTATAATTGATGTAAAAATGCAACATTTCATAATAAAAGCATATTAAAACGTAAATTGCTATGACCTCTGTTCTTTGTGTAGATGAGACATAGCCTTCAACTTTGTCTATTTGTATATGTTATACAACTTGCTATGATTCTTTTTAAAAAATAACAACACTACCTAAAACTGCTTCAGAGAAAAATTGGAAGAGAAAAAAATTTCAAGAAGAGGATCAAGATAAAATATTGAAGATGAAATCAGGGGAAGTCAATGTCAAAATTTTCATTGGCTTTAATTAAAGTATCATGTTAAGTAACCGATGTGCCTCATTTTATTTTCGTTACAATCTATATCACTATCAATTCCATGGAAGCTGATGTAAACCTGGGTGTAGATATATGGTAGGTAGGCTTGCTGAAGCCTTGGAATATGTTTGGGAGAAGTAAGATCGGAACTGGGTCACCTGAGGCAGGAAGTAAAATCTGAGTAACAAATGTACTCTTGTACAAATGTACCTATCATTTAAATAAGCTTCAAAGTCAGAATATATAAACCTATCAATTTTCAGTTTTGCTTTGTGTTTTGATTTAGCAATTTCTTGTGTGTTAGAAAAGCTAACCATGTATATACAGCTAAAATTTGCTTCCCAAATTCGTAATTAGCTCTTAATGTGGTCAGCTGCTCAGCTTTTTCCTGCTGACAATTACATAACCATGCTTATTGCTAAATATATAAACTGGCACTTAAAACTTATTATCCATCAATGAAGTATGCTAAGTGATTACTGAAGTTGTATTATAAAATAATAATAACATACATAAAAGAATTTGCTATTTTTTTAAATAGACCAATACAAAAAAGGGTCTTGAAGCAAAGCAGGAAAAGGACTGGTACTGATCCTCTGATGGAGTATAGTCTAAAAATGTGATGTTAACTACCTGTTTTTATATTATATGTTTCAAGTATATTGAAACTTTAAAAGCAGAGCCACATCTTGGTTTAAATGTAGTGCTATTCTAAAAACACTGTCCCATATTTAATTGGTGGGAGAAGTTGAATTTTGTGTGTAGTTAGAGAAAACAAATTTTTTTTCTGTCATCTGAAGAAAGTCATAGAGAAACCCTGTACTTCCCAAAAGCAGCCAGGACTTTAACTGTTACTTATGTGTTGGGACTTAAATGCTTTACATGTTCTCAGAATGAGAAGGTAAAGGGTAATATAGGGAAAAAGTATATAGTTGGAAGAAAAAACAGCAAGGTTAGGGATTCAGGTGGCTTCTCCTGGACAAAATGCAAGCCAGTTTTCTATAATAGCAAGAGACATAAGTTTAATCGAATGAGGAGAGAAAATACAAGAAAAGGGGCAACTTTCGTGTACCTCTAATGCAGTGCTATGAAGGAACTGAATGAAGAGTCTGAATGAATTGCATCATGAATGCCAGCTTCTGCCCTTCTGCCTATTTTTTTTGCCACTGAGGCATTTGAACTTGTTACAGATATCTGTTACTGTTTATAGGATAACCTTTTTATTATTCGTAGGATAATAAGTGGAATTGATGTTGGTTTCATAGGGTATATTAGCATGTGGGAATGAGTCAGGTACACTTAGGCTAAAGGCAGGATATTCCACAGGGAATTGTCTCAAATTATCAACCTACATTTATTGCTTTACTTTCTTATCTGTGTCTGTGCCCCTCTTCTACACTGGGAGAGAAAAAATGTCTTGACAAAATGTTTTGTTTGCTTGAAGATGGAAAATAAGGAAGTATGCAAAGTTTGAGCTCAGAATATATGTGAAAATACAATATTGAGTAAGCTATTAGTTTAATAAAATATCATTCCCATTATTATTTTCTTTTCATTGACAGCATAAGTACAGGAATAATATGTCATCTTTTGGAATTAGAAATAATACATTTCTGTTTGCTCAGTTTTTCTCTTGAATAAGAGCAGCAGCTGGGGACTGCTTCATTCTACTGTTGGAGGAAAACTGCTGTCTCAATGGATTGTTAAATAGGGAGAGAGAAGGGGGCTCAGACTAAGTGAAGAGGACAGTACTGTGTCGATGAGGAGCATGATGAAGTATATGAGGGCATTTCCCTCCTCTCAGAAGGAAAAGTGTGATGAAATTTATAAAGGCACACACCCTCCCACCTGCCCCACCTCCAAATAACCCATGAGCAAAATATGGCAATAAATGGAAATCTTGAAGGAAAAAGAAAAGAAAAAAAAAAGAGAGGGCTTGGGAGGGAGAGCAGAAATTTAACAGTATGAGTTCCTTCTGTTTGATTTTGTTAATTGTTTATTTTTAGCTTCCACTCCAATTAAGAACAAAGATCTTAGAAAAATATTTCATTTAAGCTATTGAATCACTACGTGCCTCTGTAAGTGTGTACATACAAATGAGCAACAGATCTCATCCCCCAAGTGAAACTGTAAAACATTGAATTGCATCTTGTTTTTTCAGGTATCTTAATAGTCATATTAAGTTGCTTAATGATATTTAAACTCAGTAGAGTTTAAAGGAAAAAGGCGGGAATTTAATTTTGTGCTAGTAGCTTTTTTTCCTGTACCTTCCTTAAAGACTAACCTTTCTTGTGTTTAAACCATTTAATTCTAACTGTGAAATGCCGTAGAAACATTAGCACTAAGTGATGTGAACTGAGTTGAAATCTATATTAAAATGAATGCATATCTTGCACTTGTACTGTTCTTTCTTGGCTTTCGGCTATTTTTTCTTTCAAAGCCAGTGAGGGTGAAAATTGTATCATATGTTGAAGTCAGAAGACTTGTTCATAAAAATAATGCCATTTTAATAACAATCAAAACGTGAATAATTACGACTTTTTTCGTCAGAGAAACCACCTTGATTATGATTGCGCCACAGTATATGACAAAAGTAGAGGTATGTGTAAGGTAGGAGACAATCAGCAGAGGATACTTTGTGCAATTTTCATTGTTTCCGTCTAAAGTAATAAATACTAGGTTAACCAAATTCAAAAGAAAGTGGAAGATTGCTGTTAGAGGCATAAACAATGCCATAGTTGGCAATGTCTAAAATGCTCTGTTGTTCTTCCATAAGCTTTTTCTCTGTCATAAAGGCTTTTAAGATATTTTATTCTGGGATGTGATCATGGTTCTCTGAATAGTGACTCAGACTTGACCCAGTTCAGACATAAGCAGGAGTTATTATCTGGTGGCTTCCTCTTCAGTAAGCTATAAAATGAGTCTCATGTAATATTTTTTATTTTTTTTTAACCTTCCTTTGTGAAGACCATGAACTAGTTTATTGACCTTGAACTGTCCTTTTATGCTTAGAAACATTTCCTCTCAAGTAGAAATGTGTTTTGGTGGCAAAGGCTTTGCTGCTCTGAACCCTTTAACATTTCTTGATAGCATAGCAGAGGTCTGGGTTTTCTGTTGAGTCAAAATTGGCATCTTTGAACAATAAATGTTCAAGTAAATAACATTGTCTAACATCCTGAAAGCTATTTTTTCTTTTAGGAATTTCTGAAAGAGAATGACATGGTGTCGTTTAACAGTGATGGACAGCTCTGATCTCAGATGTATTTAACTGTTGATGAACTTGAAATATATGACTGCCTTCTTGGCCAAACAATATCTTGGGCTTTTAGTACTTCACTGTGCTGATAAACACAGGACCTTGGAGTACATCTTTTGCTCCTAAAAACTCTATGACTGTGCACTTTATTTTCAAGCTGTTGTTATTTCTTACATAGTCCTTCCTAGCTCTGAATCTGTAATAGAGCATAAATCTGTAATAGAGCATACTTGCTCTTTCTAGTGATGAGTCTATTGGTTACAGTGTTGGCCTCAAATCTCATGTCTGAAATTATCCTTCATACAGGCCCAGGGCTCTAGATCCCAGTGTTGTTGTCTGAGAATATGAGGCTCTGTCAGGCTCTTAAATATGTCCTCCAGTTTTCCATCAGAATCCTGGACTAAACTAGACCTTTTGAGGTATAACTTAGAAAGGCAGCCAGGAACCCACAGACAAAGGCATTTTTTATACCAGAAACTTTACTGTGAAAGTGCTAAAGAATTACAGATATTTGGAAACAGGAAGTTCTGAGTAGATTCCCTTTCTTGGGTCTACTCATTCCCACTCTTGAGAGTCCTGAGGTTATTCCTAGTGTTTTTTGGCGTAAGTCATCTTAACCTAAATATCTCCCCAGGAAGACCTTAAATGTGCAGATAGCCTCCACCACGCCCATAGCTGCACCATGTCAATTTTTTCCCTTGCATGCACCAATTGAGTGTTTCCCTTCTCTTTCCCCATCCTCATAGGGGAAATATCCTATCATCCTTGATGATACAAAGAAAAACCTGGTTTTTATCAGGGCAGAGTGGTAGGAGAGGTTAATTCAGAATTGCATGCTTTGTTTGTACCTGTTGGATTGTGCTTAACTGAGGTGTGGGTCTTCATGCTGTTATCTAAAAGGCAGTTCAGCAGGCTTGCCTGGGACACATGCACCTATCTATTCAACTCATGATACACTATGCACTCTCTTATTTTGTTCAGAGCTTTACCACTCTGGCAGTAAGAATTTCTATGAGCTCTGGCACTAACGATTTTGAATGACATACAGCTTAAGTAAGGGCTTGTTTGTCTAGACATAACAAATAAATCTGAAGTGGTCATTAAACAAAATACAAAGTTTTCCTCAGTGCTTTCTTAAACGATGTAAGCTTGTTAATATTAATATGTGAAAATGTAGGTTAAAACTCATTAACTTCCTTTTATGGACAGCGAAAGTAATTTCTTACTATCTTTGTGCCTTCAGAAACTCTGTGCTAAAGTTCATACTTTATACCCAGGTGTATATATTGTGCTACAGTGTAAATACTAGGAAAAATGTCTCATAGAGCTATTAATTGATTTGGGATGCAACTGGTAAATTCTGTGAAAACAATTTATCCAATTCAAATGCTTTGTATAAATCAATTTCTTGTGTTCTTCCACCCGAGAAGTTTCTGTCTGTATAAAGAAATGGTTCATTTTGAGTTGTTGTTACTAGCACGTCAGAATGTGTGAGAAAGTTTGTCGATATGGCTTAGGAAAAGTAGCAGGCCAAATGAAAAATATTACATACTTTTGTGGATGTTTCCATCAACTTCTGCTTTTTATATATTAATTTTGTAGGTAATAGAAAAGAAGGTGATCAGTATGCCTTTTGTGTAAATGTAAGAGCGTTGATTTTGTGTGTTAATAGAAACACATAATTTAGATACAGAAATAGAAATTGTTATCATGCTTTTCGTGTAAAAGTAAATTCTAAAAATGTACTATTATAGTAACATTTTTCTTCAATATTTTTCCCAAGTTCTTTGATGTAATTTCAACCACTGAGAAACCATTGGCTGAGCAAGACTGGTATCATGGTGCAATTCCAAGAATAGAAGCCCAGGAGTTGTTAAAACAGCAAGGAGACTTCTTGGTGCGAGAGAGCCACGGGAAACCTGGTGAATATGTCCTTTCTGTGTTTTCAGATGGACAACGGAGACACTTTATCATACAATATGCTGATGTACGTCTCTGATATAGTACTGAATATTCAATGTTAGGAAGTTTATAATTTCAGCTAAGCAATTTAGGATCTACATAATTTGCTATGGTAAATCGCTTTAGCCTTTATATGAAAATGTGAAAGTAGTTGGGAATATTTCCATCAGTGCTGAAATCAGGGGAAAAGGTCATTTGGGGAAACAAAAGTGTGACATTATTCAACATATTTTATCTTATATTGAAAAGCCAAGATATTTCTGTAAATGTTTTGAAATCCAGAACTTGTTACTACTAATTTATGCACATACATTTATTTATTTTTCAATCCATTTTCATAGTTGGTGCTAATTAGGCAGGCTACTCTTAATTTAGACAGTAAATATTCCATTGAATCTTCCTGAAAAATGGAAACATTCACAGAGAAGAAAATAATCTGTGTTGGTTTCTGTACAGTTGGGAATTGAAGTCCCTGCTGCACTACAGATGCTTATGTTCTTTTTAGCCCTATGGATATTGTTTTGTTCAGTGTAATACAAACACTTCTGGATGTTGCACAGCATATATGCTTCTAAGGACCAGAATTGATCCCCTTGTTGCTCTAACTTAGGAAGAATTGGTCATTTTAAACAGTATGTTAATTTTTATGTGCCTTTATCCAATGTATTTCCTTGTATTTTTCTTAATGCATTACTTGGGGTTTTTAATGTGTGCATTTTTCTTTTTATCTTTCAGAATTTCAAACTCATTCAAAATATGACAGTTCTCATAACATTACTAGAAATTCTTCTTGAAGTATGACATAGCAGCAAATCATTCTCAGTTGGTTCAATAATGCTGCCAAAACATATTTCAGTCTCTTGTAATAAAATCTCCCACATACAGAAAAATACATAAATTTAATCGCATAACGATGTTCACACTGAGGGAATTTCCTTGTCTAAATCCCCAGCTGATGTAGCATGCCTGGGGGAAGTCAATATTGTGCACCTGGTTTATGTCTTTTTAATGAGAGGCAGTGATATTTTTCAAACTTCGTAGATGTTGGAAGGCTTCTGCTTGATCAGTGATTATGGACACTTGTCCAGCTGCAGTTTTCATTAATTCTCACCTAGAGTTTTCCTTGTAGAAGGGAACCTTACACAAAGTCAGTGTTTATTTTATTTTGATTTTATGACCTTAAAGTATTTTGATTTGTCAGAGTGCTGAATGAGAAAATAAGAGCAATAAAATTACCCTTACCTGGACACACAGAGTCTTACAAGATGCTTTGAGCTCCCTGATCTGACCTCGTAGAAATAAATGCATATTGTATACTTGGTGTGGCTGAAATAATTTTCTGTAAATCATTGTATGTGGCAACTAGATCTTCAAAAAATGTAGATTGGACTTTCAAGTCAGTTAAAATAGAGGGGGTTTTTTTGTAAGTATTACTATGAGGCCTACCTGTAAGCTGACTTTTTTGTATTGTTTTTTCCACAAAAAAAATTCAAAAAGCTATCTTTACTTTCATAATTTCACTACTTTCTCTTAGGAATTACATTTGAAATGTAAGACTGATATTGATTAATATTGCATAGCTTGGACAGTCCGAACTTCTTCATGTCACTAGATCTGTCTGCTTGTACATTTAGTGATCAGGCATTATGTTCATCTGCTCTTGGGATTCATTTGTGGCAGATTTTCTTGACAATCATGGAAGTTAAAACTTACTTTCTTAAAGAAATGCAGGACTTCTTATATACTTCTGTGGGGTGAATTTTCTGCATTTATTGTGGAAAAAGCATTGATTGTAAAAAGACAAAAAGCTTTTAGAGCTCTGAAAGGAGTTAGTAGATGGTGGGACTGTTATGGTCATATAACAAGAGGGATTGTATTCATGAACTTTTTGGTAGGGAAGTTTGAGGAGAGTTTGGTGCAAGGGATTTGTTTGTTTGTTTGTTTACATTGGTATGAACTATGTGGAATCAGGTCTCTGACTGGTCAAATCACACTCTTGGATCACTGACAGGAGACCAAACTTGGTCTCCATATAAAGATTTTCTTCTGAATGAAATAATGGAAGGGCAGAGGGGGACATACACCTGTTTTAACAGTGGTCCTTTAGTTGCGTAAGTGTTCTCTCTCTGGTTTTACCATTATTTTAAAGGCTAATAAAACTATGTGTGTGATAAATGAGTTCACCGTTCAGCTTTAAGCATCCAAATTAACTGCTGTCATTCAAGGCTACTGTTGTTTCTCACTGCTGCTTATTTGAGGCTGTGCTATTTTCAAATTGTTGTTTGTTAGTGATCTTAATGGTCAGGGTCCTGTGTAAATGCACAGAATCAAAGACGACTGTCTGCCCTGAAGGTCTTGCATAGATGGCAGCAGATGGGCGCGCAGCTGGGTCTGGGATGAGGACATATAATAGGCAATACTGGTTGTTGTGCTAGGGAGAGTCCGAGGACATCAAGTTTTTTGGATCATCGGCACAGAAAGGAGCTTATTTGAAAGGAATGGGAACTAGTGTTACTGGTCGAAGCTGAGTCACTACTTAATAAGTGAATGAAGTTAAACAACAAAATAAACAACAAAAAGTATTCAGAGTATGAAAACGGATAGCCAGGAATGTTAAAAACGTGACATGCGCAAGCTGTCTTTACCAACAGCGATAACAGATTTCAGGAAGTTAATGCTTTAACCCGTAAGGAAGAGAAATTTGCAATGCACTGTGAAAGGAATTTAACCCTGGGGGCTAGAAAGACAAAAGTCTGCATGCCAGTGGTAGAGGTTTTCATTGCCCAGTTGTGTAAATGAGCTTGAATCACCGTCTGTGCTTTGAGCTTTTTTAATTGCAGTACTTGTTTACTGTTGCCATTGTCAGGCTGGCTTATGGCAGTTCCTCTCTTGTGGGAAGAATTCTCTAACTGTAGGTGCTGAGTCTTGTATAGGCACAAGACTTTATCCTGTTTCCCAATCAGCTGCAGTGTATAATTTAAGACATTCAGGAGGAATGAAGGCAGAATGTCTTCTTTATTATTTTTTTTTCCCTGTCAAGTGTATGGGCAAAGATAAGTAATGAAAATATATTTTTCCCCCTTAACACCTGAAAGAATATGTCATAGCAGTCATTGCTGAGAAAATGTTATGTGCTACTAAGAAAATATTCAGATATTTAATTGTTTCTGTTGTGTTCAATTATGTATCTAAAAAGAAATAAATTCATGAAGTGGGGCCGGGGCGGGGGAGGGGGAGTTTTGTCTTGCCCAGCTTCTGTATGAATTATATACATGACCTGCCTTTAGTTTTAGCCACTGTAGAAACTTCTGGTATTAAAGACCAATCATGCATCTTATACTCTGTGCCAGAGATTTATTAATGTTATCAAACATTGTAAATGCAGTAAGATCTGAGTACGATAATGTTACTTATCTCCTGTTTATTTTATTGTCAGATGTTTATTTTTTAGTTTGTTTCTGTAATTCTTAGAACTTTAAGTAATTAGGAAGTTAGTGTTGTTTTTTCTGGTTTAGAATATTTTTATTTCACTGTCAGAGTTTTGAATTTAACTGTCCTATCTCTTTAAATTAAGAATTTAAAGAAATAGTTTATCATCTTGCCTTAAATGAGTGATGCGGTAATTTTACATTTATTAATTATCATCTTCCTAACTGTCATTCCATTTAATTCAGTAGAAATGCTATTAAATACATCAGGAAAGAAATCTAATTCTGTAAAAGCAAACCTTTCTTTGTTTTGTTACTAGTGAAGGAAGCTTTGTGATGCACTTTCGTAGTTTCTTGTTCAAAATATTCTTATAGAGAAACTATTATTTCCTTTTACCTCCATACAGAATCAGTATCGTTTTGAAGGAACTGGGTTTCCAACTATTCCTCAGCTCATAGAACATCATTACACAACAAAGCAAGTTATTACAAAGAAATCAGGTGTTGTTCTGCTGAATCCTGTTGTGAAGGTAATGCATACATTCCAAGAACTCTATTTAACTGAAAAGAATTTGGGGGGGTTGTATTGTTATTTAAAATAGTTCCTACCCAACTTCTCAGAAGATTTTTCATTCTTGCTTGTTTTGTAGCTCTCTTTTTCTGAGCTTTTTTGACCTTCTTTGCTCTGTGCAACATATTCCTTTAAAATAATGCTGCATCCTGATTCTTATAATAAATCTTTGCTATCTTAAAAGAATGGTGTTCAAAATCTCACAAAAAATCCTCCTACTTTTCTTTTTGGTTTCCCATTTGGATTTCACTACTAAGTAATTGAAAGTAGTAGTTCATTGCCCCTAAAATTGTGATGAAGAAATTTTTTTCATAAAATGGTGTTCTTTAAGTGGTAAAGTTCTCATGAAATTTGGAAGAGTTATGACAACTCCATTTTTGTCTCTATTTTATATCTCAGAAATAAGTTACACAGACATGGAAAAAGGTATTGTCATTCCACCATCATTGCAAATTTGAAATAAAAATTCCCTTTTTAATGAGTAAGCTATTGCAGAAGGTCTGTCAAGAGGGAAATGAAAAGGGATGGAAGTATTAAACTATATCGCTGTTTAGAAAGCTTAAGAGTCTCCTTGACTTCTTCCAGTAGTTTTGCAGTTAGTATCTACTGAGTTGATACTTCATTCATAAGCCAACTCTTTTCCACCTAAATCTTTGCATTTTAACTATGAGTAAGCCATTTGTTCCTGATTGTTTTTTAAAAAGACTAGTTTCAAGCATGTGTAAAGCACCTTCTGTGTTCTACAAAATTTTAGGAAGCATAACAATTTATATTTCAGAGTTAGATTCCTACTCCAAGGTCCTAGTTCTTTTCTTCTAATAATACGAGGAAATTAAAGTCTGTTCCCTATCTCAAAATTAATGTGATTTTTTTCACACTTATCTGTGCTTACCTGTTTTATGTGATTTTTAAATGTAAAGAATGGGTCTTTGTAATTACATCTTACAGGTTAATGTCTTGCTGATTACCAAATTGACACTTTATTGAACATAAAATATTGCTTAAATTCATTGCAGAACATATGAGACAGCTTAGGACATTATTTTTGATGTGTGAATAATTGTATTTTGATATATACTGTTTAAGCTAAAAATAAAGGGCTGTCAAACTCAAAATGAAAACTTTTTGTAGCTGTTTGCAAATTTTTGTCTTTTATAATACCCTACTTGTTTTAAATGTTTAATGTTCTTTCTGTTTCCTGGCTTTTTTTCTGACTTTGTATAATGTACATACTCTGAGAGCAGCCCTGTTTTAGCAAATGTAAAATTATAGTACAGTATGTTACTATATATCAAATAATAACAGAACTTAAGGTTGAACAGGAAAACATCAACTAGAAAGCATCATCTTTTCATTCTCTGTTGTTTACGTTGAAGACAGTGCATTCCCATATTCCTGACATCTTTGTTTCATTTTGCTATCTTTTTTAAAATAAAGTCTTAATTTATGCATAGTTTTGTGTAACTATGTATAGTCAAAGAATTTTTCCAGTACCTATACTATGGAAGACATATGGTCCCAAATTACTTTCCTGATCATTTCTCAGTTACTGTACTTGATCTCATGGCCTTTGAGGTGTAAATGCACATATGGATAGTCTAATCATCATCCCTTGATGATAAGCATGCAGACATGTATGACTGTGTGGTGGGTCTTTCCAGGACTTGAATCCATACCACTATCACTACATTCAGATGTGTCATAACCTCCTTACAAAGTGATGGAGAACAATTTCAAAGATAGACTTTTTTGCTTTTCTGCTGCCACTGGGTGCAGTGTCATGGGCCCACTCCTTTCTGGAGTTCTTGATTTGAGTTAGTCTTGGTATTAACTAAAATTAGTGGAAATATTAGTATTTCCTCTAGGATCACGCTAGTTTTATGACCATTTGGTAGTTGATTTGAGCTGCAGTGCAAAAGTACTTTGACTACTCAGGTTTCCCAAAGTGCTGCAAATAATCACTATCTATCCATAAAATCCAATCATACAGGCTCCATTTATTTCGTCGTATGACTGACTTTGTGCTGGTGTGTGTCAGTCTTAATATTCAAGAATATTTCCTTTAGGGTTGATGAACTTTTCAGCTTTCATTCTGATAGGTTACGTAAGGTAATGGAAAGAAGAGTATTGGGTGACAGGAAACTTTATTGTATAGGTTTTTTTAAATATACGCATTACATATATTGTATATAGGCTTTCAAGAATTCATGAAATACGACCTGAGTGTCTGATAGCTACTTATACTTTGTGTAAGCTAAAACCAATGTGTACTATACTTTGTGCTTCATGACCAGCAATTTGAACCAAGTAAGACAGCATTGAAAAGGGTGTTAGCTAGATGATTTAAATTGCTTCAGAGCAGCTATTTTAAAAAATATTTAAATTGTTTTGTTTTGTAATACCTTTTGGTCTGAGCTATGATTTCATGATTATTTTAGTTCTCCCATCTGATAAAAACTGGTTGGCAAAAAGTATTTCAGAACTGAGAAAAAGAGCTTTTCTTTTTAATTTGCATGGAGCTCTGGCTTTGATATGGGGAAGTGCAGATATTTTAAGTTATTTTCAGAAATAGCATATGCACTCTGACACCTAGTGTTGGGGGTATTTTATGCATCATGTGCTATTATCAGAGGATCTTTGATCATTTCCTTAAAATTCATTTGACATCTGCAAAGACTGCTTTTTCTTTGTTTGTAATATAGCTGCAAAGCTGTCTTTGACGTTTCATGCAATCTGTAATCTTTTTATGCAAATAGTTGTCCCTGTAATAACCTGTTTAGAAAGTGAAAGTTAAATATGACAGAGAACTTCACAGAAAAAAAATTATGCTATGTCATTTGTTTTTGCTTTCCTTCCTTCCCACAGTCATTCATCCCCCTTTACCATATTAGTAAAATTAGCGTTCACCTTCTGTGTCGATGCCCTTGAAAGAACAGTCTTAATTGTGTCACAAAAGGCCTGTCCCACATCCCATTTCATGTAGACCAAATCTGCCTGCTTGGAATTTTAATGATACTGTAGTAATAGAATTTAAATTAGAAAAACTGAGGGCATTAAAAAGATATCTGCAAGTGATTTCTTTAATGGAAAAGTCTCTCATATTTATTTATAATCTTTCAGAAAAAATGGACATTATGTTCTTCAATTTACTATTGATGGAATGACTGGTACGTAAAGCCCCTGAGTAACTTCAATGCATACCCAAGGACTTTATTAGTAGAAATGCCATTTTAACAGTGTTCTTTGACCTCATGTTGTGGAGGTTTTAAAATTTTCTGAAATACATTTTTTACATTTAAGAAATCTGTATTAAGTTGTGGATATGCTTCAGTTTGACTACTAGAAAAGAGAATCATTGAGGAAATAAGGAATACCATTTTTATTTTGATATATCTGCATTAATCTTTTCACTTGGATCAGAAATATACCTTTGAAGCAAATCTGCCCAGTGCCACTTAGGATGCTATGCTTCCATCATTGAACAGTCTCCTAGGATTCAAACTTTACTCCTTTCAGCTGAAACAAAATAGGAAGATGCACAACTGCTGTTGGGAGGGATTTCAGTCTTCAAAACCAGGAGACATCTAGTCTGAAGCAATGCTTTTCCCCCAAAATGTATTTTTCAGGTCCTCAGCACCAAATGTTTCACTCTGGAGATCTGCTACTTTTTCACTAGTGCTAATGTAGTCCTAGTCTTTGGATCCTCTGTAGTAAATTCAGATTCTGACCTCATGAACAAAAATTAACTGCTACTTTGTCAGATGAGTTAGGCTATGTATTTGTTGCCAGTAACTTTCATTTTAAAATTCTGGATCTATTTTGATGTGATATGGCCTCAAACATTCTCTGTATGTGGAAAAATGATGAACTATAAATAATGTTGAGTGTGATGAATGAAAAGTGTTAAAAAATATGTCTTTCTTAGTAGTGGCTGGGGTACCGTCTATTCCCCTTTGCCCGCCA